AGGAAGTGCAACAGCAAACGTAAGTGAGGAGAAGAAAGGTCTGTTACAGCGAGCAAACAAAGATGGCCAGCATCCTCTGGAAGACACAAGAGATGGTCTTTAGCCTGTTCGAAAGTTTGTTGGGTTTCAGAAAGAACACAAAGCTACAGTGCCAAACATTACACCAAATATTTTCCCTCTCCATACTACATAGTAGTAGTAGTTCTGTCCCTTTCCATGTCTTAACTACTCAGGCATTTTCCTCTGTGTTTGTTTTTTTTCTATGTGTTCACTGCCAGCTCCATATGAATTGATACATTATTTTAATCAGTTTACAATGACCTGTCAGACTTTTACTTCTGACATTTCACCAGATTTACATCCAAGACATATTTTGAAATTATGACGAATGCTAATTGTCGGTAAAATAACTTTCTTCTTGTGCCAGATGTTAGCAAATTACATTGTTTCATTTGTATATGTTTGCTGGCTAACAGGGTCGCATACGATTTACAACGGCATTTGTGAAGTCATTCAGGTTTCTCATGGTGGATTATGAGTCCTGTTGGGTTACAAATATATTATTTTTATTGGTGAGCTTTATCATGTAATTAGTGGTATCCTCATTCTAGAAATCTGTTTATTAAAAGTTAATATACTAGGAAGATTGACTTTTTCCCCATTCTAAGACACCAAAGCAGTTTAATAAGGACTGCCTTTTGACATCCTCAGAAATTGTGCTTTGAAATCAATTTACAGTTCAATTGGCTTCAGTGTAGTACCATGAACACATCCTTTACTTTATTTTATTCCTTACATTACTTTACTTAAGATTAATGACCGCCCTCTACAGTATGGAAACTGGATTCCAAATTTAAATAATTGATTGGTTAAAAATGTGTCATTCTTGTGTGTTTAATGTTCCAAGCAGTCTGGAGGTAGAAATAAGTGATTGTCATGGATGCATTTATCATTCATGTGCTATTTCACAGCAGCTGTTGTAAATCTCATGTCCTTAGTCCATACATTCAAAAGATATTACCAGCAAATCAGGGAAACATGAAAATCTCAAGACAGAAATACTGCCAATCACTCTTGGAGAAGAATGTCAAAGCAATATGTTGTGCAAACCACAGGACTGAACTTCACCCCACCCTTCTGTTATTGCCAAGTGAGACATGCATTTATTTGTGGTCTGGTTTCTTTCATTTGTTTGCATTTAAAATAATTATATGTCCCTCACATTTTTCTTATTCATCTGTCTTTAAACGTTAAATGTATGCATATGCTTCAGAGGGTCGGGATAAATATTGTTGTGATGTTTCACATCAGATTGTTGTACAGTTGTCCTGTAACCACTTACATGAAGATGTAAATATTATTGTTTGAATTCAGGCTTACAAAAGTGGGGTTTAGTTTTAAGCAAATTGTTACTTGCACTGTCATAATACAACTAGAAACTAGTCAGGTTTCAAATGCATGCAAGTTTGAAAAGTGAAAAATTCTATAACGGAGTTGTGCCGACTGGTTGTGTTAACTGCAGTATGCTTCGCTGGTTGTGTCAATGCAGGTAGCTATCTGACATTGGGTTTTCTCTTCTGTGGGACATAAATTAACATTACCTTTTTTTCCAGGAAACAATTCCATGTCAGATTTAGGCAGAAATGTTGTCGACTAGCTGGAAGTTGACTTTGTTGTTGGAGGGAATGTTCACAGTAATGTTATTTCTATCTTTTGTTAATTTATGTCAAATATGGGAATGTGAACCTCCTTATAACATATTTTTACAGTTATATTTCAGTCTTAATTTTTATTTCTTTTATACATTTCATCTGTGTCATGTAAGTAAACAAATCCTGATCAAATTGTAAATCTGCTTGACATGAGCAAACTGTATTTCAGAATACTCTTCCATGACAGAGCAATATAACATTCTATGGTATAGATATTTTTATTGTTCAGTTCTTATGTTAGTGATATGAACTTTATTTCTCAACATGCTTATACCAACTTGTCCCAAGTGTGACATATTTTTGTACATAATAATTTAGTAAGTTTTAATGATTGTAAAGACTGCATGAATGAGTCCAGTCACTAATTTCAGAGTATTTTGTACATGATTAGAGATGTTCTGGACTTAAATAAAAATGCAGCATTCTTCAGTCTGCACAGATTTCAGTGTGTAGTTTTCATTTAACCTGAAACATTTTTATTGCAGGCAAAGTCATGAGACCTGAAGTGATACGTTGTTATTGTAGTTCCAGTTGAATGGATAAGGATACTGGTAACTTTCTTTACTTTAAAAAGTTTTACATTAACAGTTAAAAGAGATCTGTAGTGTAGCATCCTGGTACATTCTCTATACAGGCTGAGTCAGAAGTATGTTTACAAACTTCGTGTGTGTGTTCCAGGATCAAAAATAAGAAAAAAAATTCCTATGAACATGGGGTCGCAAATGTTTTCATTTTTCGAAATAATAGCCAAAAATAAGTTTCAAAGAATTACCTTTATATCAAAGTGAATCCAGCTTCCAGCAAAGATTTTCAGTTAACGTTCGGGCAGGAATTGTTGGCGACATGCTTATTGGTCCCCACATGCTTCCATCGCGTCTAAGAGGATCTTCATATTGGTGATTCTTAAGAAGACACTTGCCACGTCTCCTTGAAGAAGTACCACTGAATACAACAAGACGGAGTCCCAGCACACTTCTCAATGAAGAGTACCCTCAGCGATGGATTGGGCGTGGTGGCCCAGTAGCATGGCAACTGAGGTCACAGGACCTGACTCTATTGGACTTATCTGTGGGGTCACTTGAAGTCCATCGTTTATGCAACACCCATAAACAATGATGACGACCTATGGGAACGTGTGCAGAATTCATGCCAGATGATTCGAGGAAACCCTGGTGTGTACGAACGAATCCGTCATTCTTGTGTACGTCGTGCTCGTGCATGTGTGGAGAATGGAGGATCAACCTTTGGGCATCTGTTATAAAGAAACATCCCTGTCCTTATACTTGGCAATAAAGGCATACATTGAAAATTTATTATTGGCTATTATTTCAGAAATGAAACATTTGCGACCCCATGTTCATAGGATTTTTTTTTCTTATTTTTTATCCTTGAACACATACAACTTGGATCAAAACAGTGGGATTCATCAAGCTGTGCAAAACTATTTTTAAAAAACTTAACATTTTAATCATTCTTATTATTTTAAAATATAATTTTATGTATAAGGTGAAGGTTTCATGGTGAACAAAGCTGATGAAAGACTCTTGGGCAACAAGCCGTGTCAGGTGGCTGAATGGTGAATGGACCATTTCTTCTGCCAATGTTCCGAGAGCCATCTCTGCTCTCATCCTCAGGGCAACTGCTAAATGAAACTGGTCCTATGTAGTGCCCTCGCCGATGGGAACTGACGTCAGGAGGAGAAAATACAGTTCTTAGTGCAATGACATAAACGGAACTGAACTTGATGTGGTCACACTGGGCAGAAACATGTTCTGGTGAATGGACAGTGAACTCAGTGTGAAAAGTGATGAACAAGGAAACCTAAGAGTCAGATAGATAATAATTAAAGTATCATACTTCTTTGCAGAATTTTAGACTAATTTGTATTCAGAATGGACACCTTTGTTTTCACAAAAGAAGTGAAATGAGTTACTTCTGCTAACAGAAAGTGATTTGTCTATTTATTTGATAGTTGATCAGAGGATGAAGCAGTGGGTGATATGTTGTTCAAAAGTGGACAAAACTGGATATTGACAATATTATTGGGCTAAAAGACATAAAATAATGAAATGTAGAGTAAGTATGCTTGAAATTGTAGAAAGAATATGATTTTTAGGCTAGGAGATCAGAGAATGAGGGAATATGTATTCTGAATGCTGTGGAAAAATGTACAAGAGAGGATTTGAGAATTTTGCTATTGAATTGAATGGACAACCAGTCTGTATGACAAGATAACAAAGAGAGTGGTAACTGCAATATTAGTGTGCTTCACAACCAACATAAAGGAACTATGAAACTTAAAGAGGACATGAGCTGGTCCATCATCCTTTGGGCTTGGTCTGGCCTAGGTATGATATGAGCAAAGGATAGGCACAGATGAAATAGTCTGGGGTGTGAGGCTTGCCTCCAAAGAGTCCCAGGGAATACCGTGGTAAATGAAAAAAAATTGGATGTGAAATTCTTCAAATTTTTTGGCTTTTGTGCGCCTTTTGGACAATTTCCGGCATATTTTGATTTTTTGAAATTTTTCAAAATTTCACGACTTGATGCCTTGCAGAACCTGTCTCTCTCGGACTGCTTCTGATGTACTGTGTCTCTGACGAATTCGGTCTGTGCTTGACTCGTGCTCTGCACGGGCCGGTCTCTGTATGACTGCTATAACGTGACGTCTCTGAGAAGACCAGGTGCGACACTCAACACGTAAGGCAGACGCTCACCACCAAAGACCGAGACGTGCAGAGGTCGGTTGTTGCAGACTCCGAGAGATTCGGCAACCTGGTGAGACAGAGGACGAGTCTTGTGGAGACAGGATGAGGCATTCACAGAGTTTCGCAGGCACCTCTTGCGGAAAGATTAGGAAAAATATTAAAAATTTTCAAAATTTTCGAAAAGTAAAAAAATGCTGGAAATTGTCTGAAAAGCGCACAAAACC